ATTTCTACGCAGCAGTGTGAGAACCGAGCGGGGGTATCTACGTAGGATCATGCATTTCGCAAGAAAGAATATTTTGCACACGTGCGCACACAATCTTGCACCTCAGGCTAAATATACGATGAGACAATTTGTTAGTTTCAGCGGGAATACCTCGTGTGAGAAACGTAAAGCAGTTAATTTCCTACAGAAATTTGAAAAGCAAGGTAAGAAGACGCAAGGTGGTAGATGTACGCAACAACAATAATAATAACCGGTATACAACTATATACTTAAATATACTTGTCACCGAATAAGCATGTGGTGCAAAATGAATGACGGAAGTTCCACTCCTATGTCTACGACAGTCTTAAGGTGATTAATAATTGCTCTTGAACACACTGGGCCCGCTTATCGCGGTAACGGTGCTTCGATGCCACGCGAACACCACCGGTCGCGCGTGGCCTGAGTATACCGCGTGGACGCCCACATCTACGCGGATTCGAACCGGTGACCTTACGGTTGCAAAGCAGGCGCGCAGACCACTCGGCCACTGGCGGACGTCAGACTGCCAAATTGCGTTCGAGCGTGTCAGGCCACATGATGGTTTCAGACCTACTTCAGACTCACTTTGACCCGTCATGAGAAATTGTCCTCGCCGCCGACTCATCAAGTTTAGGGATCGGTACCGTAGTTTCCCATACTTTCCAAGATGGATCTCAGATGGCGATCGCACACGCCGCCAGGACGCTGACGAAGGCTGAAAGAAATTACAGCCAGATTGAGAAGGTGGCATTGGCCATAGTGTCTGCTGTGAAGAAATTTCACAAGATGCTGTGTGGTTGTCGCTTAAAACCCTTGACGGATCACAAGCCGCTTCTGGCCATTTTCGGCTCCAAAGAGGGCATCCATGCCTTCGCAGCTAATCGAGTCCAACGATGAGCCCTCACCTTACTAGGTTATAGTTTTGGATCCGTTATCAGTCAACGCTTTCTTTGGACCAAGCAAATCCGTTTTCACGCCCATTGATTCCCATCAGTAAGAACACCAGAACACAATCATAGTCTCAGTTGGGATGGAACCTGATGTCGAATTCTTGGAGAGTGAGACGTTACGTGGTTTTCCGGTTGCGGCAAAAGTTGTGCGGGCCGAATCGCTTCGAAATCCAATTCAGAAGAAGGTTACACACGTCTTCCAACCGATTGGCCACGTTCGTGTTCTTCTGCCGAAATGCAACAGTCCTATCACCGAAGGCACTCGTTCTCTACTGTGAACGTGTGCATCACGTTTAAAGACAGAGTAGTCATGCCAAAGATATTGAAATAAAGAGTGTTCCAGCAGTTCCATGCTTTACATATAGGACTCAGCGGTGTGAGAGCGACTGCAACTACCACGACTTCGCTACTGCTTCAAGGGTGGCGCTGAAGACTGAACTCCATTCTTAGCCAAAACCAACGTAACCTTGGAGCCGTCTTCATGTCGACTTTGCAGGCCCAATCAACGGTCAGAACTTTCTCAAAGGGACCGAAGCTTACAGCAAGTTGCCCGAAGTATTCCTCATGAGCAGCATGAAAACCAACGCAACGGTCTTAAGGTAGCGGCAAGTCTTCCGCAGGTTCGGCTGCCCTGAAACATTGGTGATATACAAGGGAACACAGTTTACTTCTGCCACATTCACGGAGCTCTGCCAACGATGCGCCATCAACTACGTGCAGTCTCCACAATTTCACCCACAATCGAACGGCCAAACGGAGAGCTTTGCGAATACATTCAAACGCGCTTTCCGCAAATCAAGGAGGGAGGGTAACCTGGAGAAGGTGATCGATAGGTTCCTCCTTCTGTACCGATCTACGCAAATTCTAAAAATGTCTGCTGGAGTATCACCAGTAGTGGGCACGATGAAGAGAATGGTCCGCATTTTCTTTGATGCTGTTCAGCCGTCCTCACAACCCATGGCTAGTGAAAGAAACCACAGGATGGAATGTGATTTCAATCGACGTTTTGGTGCCAAGCGACGGTCGTTTAAACCGCCTCGGTCAGTACTTGTAAGTGATCAATGGGAGACACGCAGAACGGACGCCAGGCACGATCAAGAGCACGCGCGGTAACGTCGTTTCCGACGTGCTGTTTGGAACACAGGTATGGGTACACCATGCAAACCAATTGCGATTATCGCTGTGTCAGCCACAAGCAACAGAATCTGCCGCGCTCCCAGCTGATTTGTTGGCGGACAGCTTCAAGTTGCCCAAAGAACCCATGGAGTAACCCTGTCAGTAAAAGAATGGTACCAGACCGCGGTGAACGGAGCTCGAATCCAGAATACTTCAGCCAAGGCGATGGACCGATAGGCATGGGACACCGTCCATGAGGCTGCAACTCATCCCCAGGCTATCATCATGCATCGCGGCAGCCAGCTCAGAAGGGAAGGTATCCGGGATAAGGTAAAGCGATCAAAGGGAAACCCATTATTTCAGAAAGTACTCTATTAACTTTGATAGTGCATTGATTTCATAGCTTCTGGAAACTTCCATACCCTAACCAGACCGCCAAAATACGGAGCTTTGGCTAGGAAGCTACTAATTTTACCAGTTGACCCCAGATTTCCCGAAGACGGATGCCATTAAGCGACCTATAAGTTTGGCGAAGGTCTGGGAAATTGTATAGCGCTTTGTCGTCTTTTGGCTAACAAAAATTTCTCGGTCAGGTTCTTTGGACGTCTGAGTTTTCTATGGTTGGGCTATAAGTCGAGCGAAGGTTTTTAGGTGTTTACTCGAAATAGCGAGAAAATTTGAGCATGTAACACTTTTATCAACTTGCACACGTCGCCTAAGCTAATGTTGGTAAACTTCGTTAACATGTTCGCGTTTGTGGCATTTTGTAGGAATCTTTTGCTGACACCTTGTTTTTATCGCCTATTTGTTGATAATCAATTTATTTCATCTGCCCGTTTGTCGATCAGTGGTATCGGAATATCTATTTGCTTTAATCGATGAATTTTATTTGTTATTGTCCTCACAAGTGACTGGCTATTGCTAGACATCGGCGGTTTGGCTGTGCTTGATGTGCATCTTGAAAAGGTGCCTACCCGTCTATTACCTAGCACCTAGTCCATACTCGCTCCAGGAGACAGTTGGTCTTTGCTGGAGGGGACGCGGTGCACAGTCATTGTTGCCGTGCTAGGCTCGAAGAGTGGTCCCATGCACTCAGTGTGGAGCGGACTACGGTCCAGCCACCACATTGTGTGCGCTTGATCCCCCAATTACAGCGTGCTTGTGTTTGCCTGTGAAAGTGTGTGAGGCGGCTCCGTTGTTGAAACGTGGTTCACATCTGCATGCCTCCCAGTGTCATTCCTTCGGTTGTACTGTGGTGATGGGGTGTATGGATGGAGCTGTGTGTGGTGCAGCGCAAGCCACCAATGTCCACTCTGTAGACACAGGCGTCCTGTGGCTGGCCACAGTGACGGACAAATCCGGAACCGGATGCCGTCAGCCATATATATATATATATATATATATATATATATATATATATATATATATATATATATCGTGAAATATTAGCCACCATCTATGGTATAGATATTGTATTGTGGATTATAAAGACAGGAGCGAACTAAGGCGAGACAGTGAGCGACCTTTTTGTTTACTTTTCCACTGACAGTTTGGAGCTTTCCGCTCTGCAGTTTTATTATGGGATTGAAAAGGTATCACGGAAACATGCAGTGGTACATGTATCCACCGATCTATGCCTTGAGGCATTACTTCCATGATCTCCAAGCAGCAACAATCCGTATCTCTGGGACTCCAAGTGGTAGTAGGGAACAACCGACCGAGATCAACGTTTCCGTTAGCTTTTTCATACCGCTTCTCCAAATCGTAGGTTGTCCACCATCCTGCTGTTTCATGGTCAAGAAGCCGCAAACTACACTAGTGGCGAAAGACGCTGGGCGCGATTTGTGCATAAGCCACTGCAAGTTTCGAAGCGAGAGGAGATCTTCGAGCTAGCGGTTGATTGCACCTAATATACACTCTCTAAATTTCTCATTGTTCACGTTATTCAGCTAGCACACACCGCAATAGGCCGCAAGCATCGGTGATCAGAGGCCGAAAGTCGGCTCAACTCAACGGCACGAACAGTCCATGTTTTCCAAACCTAAAACAGTACAGCACAGACTGTCGTATAATAAACATGTCCTTTGTTAGAGAGGCGGATATCACGGCGATGTCACGAGTGTCTTGGTCTGGTGAGTGAGGCAAGTTCTCACGATGCGCATCAAAATGGTGAGATGATGCGTGAGTGGAGGGTAACTTTTGAAGACATTGGAGCCACTAGACAAAGCAGCAGCGTGGACAATATTATAATCCATCCATGATTCGTCATAGACAACAGAAGACAGTGTGGCCTCCGGATTTTGCCTTTTTAGTTCGTCACTTTGAAAAGGCTTGTGTGTCGTTGCACACACTGTTAGAAACCTAAATATATCCATGCATTTTTTTGGATGTCAACTTATGCAGTGTTACAATGGCGATGTCACTGTGGAGAAAGTTTATGGTCTGACTTTCTGGTAAACATTTGAGACACTTTGTGCGAAGTTAGGTCGTTACCTTCGTCTTCATCATCATCATTATGTGAATACGACAGCCGTATTGGACAGCGACAAGGGAGCTGACACATGTCTTCCTAGGAATACCAGAATCGCCTCTGCGCTGTAATGAATTATGCCTTTATAATCGCGAGCATAAAGCGTTAGTCTTCTCCTTGGTGTTCACAAGTGGATTGACAGACCACCGGAGTCAATCCCTTGCTGAAGTAATAATTTAGTTTCCGCACCGGTTTAATCTAATATTTTTGTCACCGTTCAACCTAATTTCTACAGACGGTCCGACAGTTGTCGGCTGCGCTTGCACTGCATTTGCAGTTCCGCAAGTAAGTCGCTACAACTTCTTACCACATGCAACTTCTCTGTTCGTGAGGACAGCAAATCGTTAACCTAATTAGCTGCCACTATTTCTCTTGCTTTTTAGTGGTAATATATTGCTGACATACCTGACAATTCAAAAATCGTTCGTTGGGGTTTTGATAACATACTCACTACTAAACGGTGCCGGTTTTGGACTCGGCTACTCTGTGGTTTTCTCTGTGGCAAGCTCCGTGAGTGGTCAGAAAGTGTTACTTTGAGCTTATTTTCGATTGGGGTCATATTCACTAATCAGGTCAATCCAACTGTTCCACTTTCCTCACTTTGTTTTGTGTACAGTCTTATTTAATCTGTTGCATGGGAAGATGCCTTATGAGTCACTTCGGTTTCATTTTTATATTTCTTTAGATTTGACACAATGGTTTATTTTCTAGGTGTTATACCTCCACTAATGTCTCGCAGTTTTCCAAACACCAGAAAATGCAATATTCCTGTTAGCGTCTCGGTATTGTTATACCGGCATTCATGCCTCACGGTCATTCATGCCTAGCATGCTCGATCTCTACAACAGTGACATTCATCGCAGTTACTGCATATTGCTTAAGTAATAAATGACAGTTTCTACACGTGCACAGTTCAGCGACCTACATAAGTAGTCGTCAGCAAAATGTGATCTTTCCCTGCTGCACTGACTCCACCCCACTCATTCCAAACCATCATTTTGTTCAAGGAAATCTCTGCAGTGTGAGACGCAGTTGTATCGTGTTCACCAACTTAGCACCACGGAACCTAATGACCACATAAAGTTAAAAAATTTTAACAACGACATGCGTTTCGATTGAGGGCGGTCTCTTCTTGCACACCTTTCAGCCGACTCTTCAATTCTCAAGCAGCGATAACTCGTCAATCCTTTCTTTGGGGTCCTACGCTCCCAGAGGTACAGCGCTGGTAATTGCAGTTTACTAAAATCACCTGATTCTCCCAGCCATCATTTGCGATAAATCCATACATTCTTTCCACCAGCAGCCTGTGTGGTTGTAATAATACTACTACTAATAATAGGTATATTTCTCTTGACGAGAGAAACTGTGTCTATAGAGGCACAGATCCATTTTTACAGAAGAATCCATGCGCTTGCATGGGTGACAAGCATAGGTGGAGTATTGGGATATACATTTCATGTATTAACATTCAGACGGATGGTTGAGGCCAAGTCCTAGTTATGAAAACGCTCATGTTTATATGCTTTTTGGCCCCTCTTGGAATGGCTCATCGAGGGATTTTCCCATGTGAATATTGAGCATAGGTAGTATAGGACTAGTTAATACTAGTCCGAGACGATGCGCGGAATTAATCGCGGATTTCAGAAGGCAATTGGAGTCGGACACAGCGGACTGTATTCGATGGGCTACAACAAGAAACTGACGGATGAAGCGAGGCAAGAGCGTACACGTGAGCGCGGGGACTTACAAGGCAGTTGTGTGTCTAGCCGGTTGTAAGATTAAAACGAGAAGGAGTAACGTACAGTCGGTCAACATGTAAACTGTACATGAAAGATAAGGAAGCCGGTTGTAAGATTAAAACGAGAAGGAGTAACGTACAGTCGGTCAACATGTAAACTGTACACGAAAGATAAGAGTTATCTTTTTGGGAGCTACAGTAGTTAGATCAAGGTAATTGGCGAGTCTGCTGCTAAATTTTGCCACGTTGCCACATGACCTGAGTGTTATTGGTAGTTTATTCCACATAGCTGTAATTGACCAGGAAGAAATTAGAGCCGACGTTCGTTCTAGCTTTCGGCATATTCAATGTAAAATCCTTAAGGCGAAGCACGGAAGTTGAACAACGTTGTAACTTGAGGATAGACAGGTTGGAATAGGTCTTTTTGTGTAACATGTTGAAAAGCAGAAACAAGTTAAACACACAGATTTATCGGGGCAGCTGCACAGATTGACGTGCTACTATTACTATTTACATCTAGCATCCCCTCTGCACAGGTCATGATGTTACACAACGTTTTCCCCAACAACAACAACAACAACAACAAAAACAACAACAACAACAACAAAAATGCTGCAACTTACACTGACACGAACCATTTCCATAAAAATGTAACCTCGATTAATGGGCAATGAACACGGATTTATGTCGAATAAAATGGCGATGGCCTGACAAGTCCCGCAGGAGGATAGAGGTAAAACTACAATTGTCAAAAAGATGTGAGTTGTCTGTTAGAGCGTTTATCGAACAGAAACACCACTGAATAATGCTAGTGTAGATGTGGCAGTTATAGTTTATGCACTTCGTCAGCGTAGTAAAAACAAGAATACTCGCTTCTGTACCGTCCTTTCAGGCATATGTGATATTAAGCCGGCTTGAAGAGATACTTATTATACTGCAAATTAGCGCCGTTTAGGCAACGTAGTGTTGGAGGTCACGGGCAAGATCCAGTCGTTTTTTGAAAATTTCCAAGGTGTAGGAAGAAACAACGGAGTTTGCGGGAACCATCTCGTGCTAATTCGGCTCTCCATCAAAATAGCCGTCACACTTGCCTCACCTTTCTATCATACTTTGTACAAAACTGTTCCGGTGGATAATCCGATCGTCTTCTTTAATCGCTCCCTTCCTGCGCACCGTCGCCCTTACCGCAGTGGAACAGTTGTATCACAGGATGCGTCGTACTATTGCTCTCCTTGATTCAAAGAACTATTGTGTCCCTCACATCCGATGTGTTGCAGCCAGTAGATCTCCTGAACACAAGCAAACCGATTGCGGAATTCAAAAGCATCAAACATTCCTGACCGATTCTATATCTAAAACGGTCTCCTCCGGTATTAAGGAATGGAAACGTGCGAAGCTAAACACCGGTAGACGAAAGCATTTTATTTCATCGCATCAGGGCTGACCTGATAACGAGAAGTGATGATGATCATGACGTGTGAAGCCGTGACCGGTAGTGATATCCTCTGGACCACGTCAATCGGTCTTATCATGGCACCATGGCTGGTGGCCCTGTTAGAGATGGAATCTCACAACGGATTAGAAAGGCGCGCCTGTCATTCATTAAACTGAGACATCGGTGACATCGTCGCGATGTCAGTCTCAAGCGCAAGGGCAAGGGGTACAATGATTCCATCCGTGCCGTACTCTTGTACGCCCGTGAGACTTGGCCTATTCGCTCGGAATACATGAAGCTGCTGTCAGTCTTTGACAATCGCTGTCTACGAAGGATTGCTCGGGTGTGGTGGCAACACCACGTTAGCGAAGCAGAGATGCGAGACCGAGCGCTTGGAGCGAGTGGTGCCAGCCATCAGGACGTTATTCTCCGACATCGCATGCGTTGGCTCGGGCACGTTTTGCGCACGCCAGCCCATCAACTACCGCGTCGAGCGCTATTTGCCCTCCCATGGAGCGACTGGAAAAGTGCCGCGGTGCATAGCCACTGACTTGGAGAAGGGGCTTGAAGAAGGCAACTTCAAGTTTGGTGGCAGTTGGACCAGTCCGTCTTCCAGGTTGGGGACCACGAGATGCTGAATCTCACTGGTTGGAAACATTAGACTTCATGACCGGCAACAGACGCCAGTGGCATCATTGTTGTTCTGCCATTATATCCATCTTTAGTAAACAAAAAACTCACAAAACAAAAATTCAAAAGGATGTGTATAAAACCAAAGAAACCGTTTTCCTTTTTTATTATCGCAGTTCGTGTTTCTATCCTCGCCACTTTTATCCTGCCATGGTTCTGATGGCACAATGTCTGTTAACAGACTGTGAATACATACCTACATACAGATTGTGGAGTGACCACCCATACGCTTTGTCCAGGTCTAGCTGAAATGCATCGTGGTCTGCTGAATCGGCGATCGCCCGTCACATCTTAACGTGGTCAGCGAACAGCAAGAAATCTGAAGTAATCAAACGCGTAAGCTTGTTAATAAACACGAAAAACAGACGCGGCCCCAGAACTGATCCTTGTGGAATTTGACATTCGACACAAATCGGATCGGACCGCGCACTTCGAACTCTTATCTGCAGTTGCCCATCCTGCAGGAAATTCCTGTTCCACCTGAGGACCGGATCACCGACTCCATGGCTTTTGAGCCTATGAAGCAGAAAACGGTGGTAGAGTCGGTCGAAGGATTTGGAAAAGTCGAAGTAAATGACGTCTGTCCCTCTGCCAGTATCGGCCGCTTCCGTCCAACTACTGCGTTCAATCAGTAGGTTGGTAGTGCATGAACGGTGCTGGCGGAAACCGTGTCGCTCGGATGATGTTGTGACCTTCTAGATGGTCTACTAAAGCCTCAGCGATGATTGCTTCCATCACCTTTGAGAGCACAGGGAGTAGGACCACTGGACGATAGTTGACGGTTTCCGAGCGTTTACTGCCTTTGAAAATTGGAGTGATTACTCCATGTTACCTCATGGTAGGCATAATTTGTTTATCCAAACACGTTTGGAACGAATGCAATAATGACCAGGCCAGCGTTGTTGCTGCTACGTTCAGCACCCTTGGGTGAATATAGTCGATTCTGGGAGAACTGTAGGTGCGTAGTGAGAGCAATAGTTAGAGCTGTAGCGGTAAGATCGATGTTCTTGTGTACTGAACTTGGGGATGGAGAAGTGGGCATGTCACACTGGCGGACTTCTCTGTGGAAGGTTGGGGCATACTGCACTCTGTGCCACTCCGACAGACGTGGTAAGTGGGGGGATACCGGGCTGCACTTTCCGGATGCTGTTAACAGGAGGTTTGTTGTTCGCAAATTTACAGGCCGATTGTTGCTGGTGAGTCAATTTGTCCTCACGGACAAGCATGATGCAGTGGGTGCGCTGGGTCACATAATCACTCCAGGTTTCGGAACAAAGATGAGCTCTGTAAGTAGACCAAATTGCGTTCCTTATTGACTTGCGCTTGCGAGTTCTACTTCTGATGAAAGACGAGGGATTGTTGGAGCGAGCCCTCTTTGTTTCCGAACCAGTTGCGATTAGATTGCTGAAGCGTCCAACAAACTGAATCCAGGCGCCATCAGGTGAGCCACCTCTCAAGAACACCCAATTGGTCGTCCCAACTAGGTTGTTCGAAATTTTGTAATGTGTGATAGTACGTGTTAGTACTGTGTGTTCCTCAGGATATTCAGCGTAACACAAATAGTTATAAAGTATTTTGACATGATCGCTTAACCCCAGTGGGGGGTCTATAAATTATCTGTCAATCATGAATTCCGCATTTGTAAAG